CTCAAGAACCCATTGCGCCGCCCTCGTTCCTCCCCTTGCTCGTCGGAAGCTCCGCCGTGTCCGACGCAGCCTGCCGTGAGTTCCCTTCTGCCGTTTCTCGAGAACCCATTCCCTCTCTCTCTCTCTTTATGGCTCAAGAACACAGATCAGGTTCGACTTCGATAGGTTCTAACGTGAGCGGAGTGCTAACTCACGGCGGTAAATACGCGCGGTACAATCTTTACGGTAATTTATTTGAGGTGTCTAGTAAATACGTTCCCCCGCTGAGGCCCCTTGGTCGTGGCGCCTATGGTCTTGTATGGTTAGTACAATTTTGGCAAATGTTAAATTATTGTTCTTATTTTTTTTTTTTCCTATGCAAATAACTGCTGTGTTAAAGATTGCCTGTTCGATAAAAATCTGATCTTTGTCCGTGAAATAGTGCATTTTTCATTCTTTTTGGCATGGATTGAGGTTTTTCAAGCAGCCCTTGTACTTGATTGCTCTGCTAGGACTATTGATTGCAAACGGTCTCATGTTTTGGAAATTTGTGGAGTGCCAAAAAGAAGTCATTTTTATCCTCTAACTTTTAATGTTAGCAACTATGTTTCTCATTCTGCTTCACTTAATCACATTTGAAATGAAGGCGTTTTAGATTTCTTATAATGCTCCTCCGGTTATGAATTTTACCCACAAAACATAGCACATTGAAGATGTAGTCGATTTTTAGCTTCTATTTGCAAACTTTACTACCTTATGACTCTCAATTCCTTGTTGCTTTTGTCGAACCAAGCCTTTTAAAAAACGTGGAAGTGTTCGCAAACATTCCGTTAGTTATGAGTGTCTTTTGTTCCCATGATTATCTTTCATTTATTTGTTGGTAGTGCTGCTGTCAATAAAGAGACTAATGAGGAGGTCGCTATCAAGAAAATCGGCAATGCATTTGATAACAGAATAGATGCAAAAAGGACTTTGAGAGAGATTAAACTCTTGCGCCACTTGGATCACGAAAATGTTAGTTAAATTCTCTATGCTTCGAATCTTGATCAGAGCCAAGCTTTTTATTTTCTTGGTTGATTTTCCACCTTTTCATTTCTTAACCTTCTTCATAAATTTTGTTTTGCTCAGGTTATTGCTATCAAGGACATTGTTAGGCCGCCAAAGAGGGAGGCTTTCATCGATGTGTACATAGTCTATGAAATGATGGATACAGACTTGCATCAGATAATCCGGTCTGATCAAGCATTAACTGATGATCACTGTCAGGTATGAATGTATTGATGACTCTAGTTTAGAATTTAGGGAGTGGTTTATTTGGTCTAAATTCTTGAATTAGTGATTAATTTATTGTCATCACAATGTGATTTGAGCATCTTACATGACTGACGTACACATCGAAATTTGTTTGGCTCGACTCGCTGATTCAAATAAAGTAATCTAACTACACAATGATGTGGAGAATAAGAATAAGATTGCAAAAGTCAATCTGGAAAAAGTCAACTCCAGAAAATAATTTAATTTATGGACATGAGGTTTTTGAATTACCAGATTGGAGGTGTCATAGATTTTGGTATTTTGCTACAAATGCTGCGTTTTGTGAACTCTAGTCCCTATTCATTTTATTCGGAAAATTTCAATCATCCGCCTTTCTGTTATTGCAAAGTTTGGAACTGGATGAGCATAATGGACTTGCTGTTACTATTTGCAGTACTTCATCTATCAGCTGTTAAGAGGACTGAAATACATACACTCGGCAAAAGTTTTGCACCGTGACCTTAAGCCGAGCAATTTGTTTCTGAACGCAAATTGTGACCTTAAGATTGGAGATTTCGGGTTGGCTAGGACAACATCTGAAACCGATTTCATGACTGAATATGTTGTTACACGTTGGTACCGAGCGCCTGAATTGCTGCTTAATTGCTCAGAGTACACTGCTGCAATTGATGTGTGGTCAGTTGGTTGCATCCTTGCCGAAATAATGACCAGAGAACCTATTTTCCCTGGAAAGGATTATGTCCATCAACTCAGGCTCATTACAGAGGTAAACTTCTTATTATATTTCTTTCTTTTCTTTTTTTCTGAGTCTATGCATTGGTGATTTGAATTATTGTTCTGAATTCTTTTAATATTGAACTTTGGCTTGTGTTAACTTACAGTGGAAAATTGTTAAATTCTTTAACTCAATTAATCCAATTTGGCGTGTAGTCCTATTCTAGCAAAATTCCCTTGTGTTGTTTTCGGTGCATATCGTGTAACACTTGCTTTCTCTTGATCCTTTAAAGCTTTTAGGCACACCAGATGAAACGAGCCTTAAATTTCTAAGAAGTGATAATGCCCGAAGATATGTGAAGCAGCTACCCGTTTTCCCTAAACAAAATTTCTCCACAAGATTTCCAAATATGTCTCCATTGGCCCTGGATTTACTTGGAAAGATGCTCGTCTTCGACCCCAACCAAAGAATAAATGGTAAGTAAAAAGAGTGCTTATTTAAACAACAATGTAGCGTCTACATTCTGATCTTCCTTTTCATTTATTTTTTTTTACTTTTTAAAAATTGCGCTGACATGGAATTTACGGATCATGCAGTTGACGATGCCCTATGTCATCCGTACTTGTCCACTCTTCATGATCTAAACGACGAGCCAATTTGCTCCACGCCTTTCAGCTTTGATTTCGAGCAGCCATCCATAACCGAAGAAAACGTTAAGGAGCTAATTTGGAAGGAGTCACTTGTATTCAATCCCGAGTCAGTTCACTAATCATGTTTATATACAGATTTCAGATTTCCTACTTATTTATAACCTTTCATGTTTAATGTGTTGACTCAAAAGATCTAAGGCAAATGCAGATGTATGTTTATGGTTTATTGATCCAGACCTTGTTAGCGTCTAGATATGATTCTAAGTATTGTAATATTTTCTCGACTCTTAATTCAGATCCTTTTGCAATGTGAAAGATGGACTGATGGAGTAAATACAAGGCACATCATTTAAACTTCAAGTTAGACCATCTCATTCACACAACTTAAGAAATTGGCTTCACATCATCAACGACGACCAATACCATCTGCTACAACAAATGCTTGTTCACCGTGCGCTCACCCTCCAAATACTTCCTCCTATACGAGCACGTTTGGGCCTCAACACTATCGATTGGCAAACCCTCCACCGGAAAATCACACACCACATCCCCTTCCGTACCCCCACCCTCAAGCTCCGAGCACGGCCGTGGGACCACCCCACTCGAGACCCCCTCGATATCCGTGCAATTCCAAAACACCTTCTTTGCCTTTTTAGCCATCCCGACTGTCACGTTCGACAAACAAATCCCCGTGAAAGGATCCCCTGCTATCCCCTCCAACCTCGCCGCCATAGTCACGTTCTCCGCCACCACATCCCTAAAGTTAATGTTCTTGATCTCGGGGAGCGCGTTCGGGTCGTACTTGTCGTCCGGGTGAGACCCGTAGTTTCCCGTCATCCAGAAGGCCCACTTCATGGTTCGCATGGTCACGCGGCGTACGTAGACATCCCGCACGTAACCGCCCCGCCCGCGAGACGTCTTGATCCGAACGCCCGACTCGGAGTTTACGGCGGTGATGTCCTCCGCGCGGACGTCCTCGATGCCGCCCGACATCTCGCTCCCGAGCGCGATGACGGCGCTCGAGGGGGAGACACACGTCAGCCGTCGGATCGAGAGGTGTTTGGTGGGCATGGCGAACGAGATGCCGTACTCGTCCCACCCGCTCTTCACGGCGATGCAGTCATCTCCCGAGACGATGTAGCAGTCGTCGATCCGGGTATTCGTGCACGAATCTGCAGTTTTTAGTTGTGAAAAAAAAAACAGTAGCTCGATATATTGCAAGTTTGTGTGAATAAACAGTTGATAATCGGTATACCTGGATTGATACCGTCGGTGTTTGGGACAGATACAGGAGCAAGAATCGTGAGCCATTGTACTATCACATTGCTGCATTTCAAATTTATATGTACATCAATCAGCAGGGCACTTTTGGGAACTCAGACAGTATTTATCAGTTACCTGCAGTAGACAGGATGGACGTGCCATGAAGGTGAGTTCACGAGGGTCAAGTTCAATATCTGAATGTCCTCAGAGAACATTATCTCAATCAGGTAAGGTCTGGTGTACAGTAACTCTCCCTTGTGAAACTTGTCCCACCAGGGCTCACCCTGACCATCTATCGTGCCATTGTTTCCTGAAAGTAAATAAATAATCGGCGGATCAATCCTCCGCCATTCATTCTTTGCCGAAGACCACAGTTTTCTTCGTTTCTATTACAACAATACCTGTTATGATAACATCAGTTAAGTTGGTGCCGAAGATGAGACTGCTGTATCTACCTCCCTCTGTATCCCTTCCTCGGCCGTAAGATGGCAGGGGTTTTATTACAGCATACTCGTTTTCATCCTGAGAAGCAAGAAGAACAGCATCTTTATGGAGATAAAGTGTGAAATGGCTTGTGGTGATGTTGAAGCTTCCGGTCAGCCAATTTCCCGGAGGAACAAACAACATCGATCCTCCGTATGGTTCAAATTGGCTCAGATAACCGATCGCCGCCTGGAAAGCTCTCGTGTTCAAAGTCGTCCCATCTCCCACGCCTCCGAAATCAGTCAGCGACGCACCGTGGGCCCTACAGTTAACCGCACAATAGTCGAAGTAATCTGTGTGGTGCAAATGGCGTCCCCATACTGCGTTTAATCTCAGCGAAATCGTGACAGCAAGAATGAGCACAGTATGAATTATCGTCTGCACAAGTTTCGCAAACGAAAGTTAGGAAACATGAAATTGATGATTATGTCGTGTGTTTATGGCATGAAATGAAGGGATTTAGTGATGATACTTAACAAAAAAAAAAAAAGGAACAGTTACTTGCCTGAGAACTTGTAAGAATTGTTGGGAGTTCCATAAAGTTTACAGTTTTGTGAATATATGTGAATTTTGGTTGCCAAAAGGGCATATATTTATATATGAATGTTAGTCTCGTGAAAGAATGTGGAGCACTTTCTTAGCCATATTTTAATTTAAATTTCAACTACCCACATTATGTCACATCCAATGACGGACCTACATCAGGCCCAGGGGGCCTGTGGGCCCCCCTCACTTTTAAAAAAAAATCAATGTATATATATTTATATTTATATATATATATATATATATGGAAAATACTATAAAATATGTATAGAAATGCAAACAAATATTTACAATATATTAGTTATTAAAACTTGTTTTTTATGCTATTTCTAATTTAAAATTAATAATATTATTTTATTTTATTTTTTTTATGGAGAAATGCAATAAAAGTCCTACTTTTATAGATAAGTTTTTGAAAATATCTATAATGATTTACTCCTTATGTCTCTTAATTGTAACTTGATTTAGTGATTTATAACACCGAGTATTTATTTGGATTGTTATATTTTTTAATGGTGATTTTTTTACTTTCTTGTGTAATTTTATATTTTTAACTTCATGTGTATTTTCTTAAAATTATTCACTTGATAAGTTCTCATCAACAGTAATGCGCAATGTGGTATCAAAGTTCAATTTTAATCAAATTTTCTACCAAAAAAATATATTTTCCTATAAATTTTATTTTCTTAAAAGTTTGAGAGTGATACATATTCTAAATTTTAAAAAACTTGATCGTACGCATATCGATATTTATGTTTATAGTATATACATCTCTATATGACATCTATATATATATAATTACTGGCTCTTCTGCATTTAATTAAACCTCATAAATTATACTTAGGTGGCATTTTCCCGCCAATTCCTGTTACTTTCATTTATATTCATTTTTTATTTTCTTTATTAAAAACAACTCAATTTTCTTGAAAAGTTTATTGTTTTAAAAATGACAACCAATTAATTCTGCAATTATAAGAGTTAATGAAAATGCAAATGTTCCCATATTTTTTTATACATATTAATTACTCTCAACAATTGTCATTAATCATTTTTATAATCGCAATTATTTTTTCTATGCTTAGTAAATTAAACGAAATTAACGAAAACAAATAAAAACTTAAATATCAACAAATACAACCAACCAAAAAAAAAATTAAAATAAAACAAAAAATCAGATGCTCCATCTTCGGTTAATTCATGTAAAAATAACAAAATTAAAGATCAATTAAAATAATTAATTATAATTATCAAATTACAATTCCAAAAGTTGAGATAACTACTGTTTCGAAATTATCTAAATATAGCCAACAATATGAAAGTAAAAAAAGATGAGGGAATCCGAAATTTTAAAAAATTCTTTATATAAATTCCAAGCATCAGCATCCCATATTTTTTTCTCAAATCATAACTCTAATAATAATTAAATATTAAATATCTCATATTTTTTGCAAATCTCATCACTCATAAAAAATAAATATTATTTATGGTCGGTCAAATCAACTATGCCATATTCTTTTCTCATCTCATAACTGTAATAAAAACTAAATTTAAATATCCCATATTTTTTTGCAAATCTCATTACCCTAAAAAAAAACTATATATATATAATTGTTGGCTCATAATAATTTAATAAAACCTATTAAATTATGTCTATGTGGCAATATAATTCTTTTCCTCTAAAAATTGTTATTTTTTATTTATTTAACCTCTCATTTAATTGTTAGATAATCAACACACTAATCACTTTAAAGTTACAAAAATCGTTTTAAATTTTCTATTTACTTACAGTTGACCATATAATGTTTTGACTATTTAACTTGAATAGATGTTATTGTTGTGGTTATATTTAAATTAACTTCTTTTGAAAAATAAAAAACGTATTTGAAATTCTTAAATAATAATAAATAATTCACAAAAAAAGATACATACAAAAATATACATTACATCCAATATGATAAAAGTAATTTAAAAAATAAATAATTCAGCTCATTTAATTATAAATTTAGCAAAAATCATTAACTATTATATGCATACAAATAACTCACAATACTTTATTTATATATGTGCAAATGCACAGGTCGAATACTAGTGAGTGTCTCGACTTAAACCATAAATCCGTTATTTAATTTTTAAAATTGGGCCCCCCTGAGTAAAATTTCTAGATCCGTCACTGGTCACATCGTACTGTCATAAAATGTTATAAAAAAAATTGTATAAGTAACTTTTTTCCATCTTTATTTGATATGTAAATTTTATATTCAGATGTCATATCATGTTGTGAAGAAATGTTATACGAAAAATTTTACGAAGTAGCTTGCAATTATTCTGTCGAAGTTTGTAACTGTTAGATTAACTATTCATGACGGTTACGTGATGATCTAACGGTTACAAATTCCGACAGAATGACTCCGTAACGGGACTTTAGCATTTTTCTGTAACTTATAAATTGCTAACTTTAACTAGAATTAGAAAGTGTGGTGAGTCTCTCCTTTATTCTGTTTGTAGCAAGAAAACGGGTCACGGCTACACACCATTGTCAACAATTGACCTAAATATTACATTTTTGGCAATCTATTATTTTGTGGAAAAATATAAGTGCCAAAAAATTCTCGTGGTACCTAATTATTGGGTTTTTATATTTTCATTTCATTTATCATCGTTACTAATTATAAATTACTATAATTAGTATAACCCATAAAAAGTAGGTACACAAAAAGTAGTGAAATATACATTTAGGCAATTAAATGATAGTATATTGAATTATTATACAGTATAGTGAATTTTATTATTAATATTATTATTATTTTCTTTTTATTTTTTTTTTAGTATATTGAATATTTTCTCAAAGTGAATCGCACGTTGCCCGCACTTAGAAGGGAAGGCAATTGTGGAGTGTACGTATTCGGATTTAGGCTGTCCCCAAGAGAGGTGCACTATAAAATTTTGAAACTTTTTATTTAATTATAACCCATTTTATTTGTCTTATATCTGGCCATTAAATTTTTGGGAAATTTGTTAAGGGACTATTCAGTATTATAAAACATTTTTTTTTTTTCAGATTTAGATCTAATAATAAAGGAAGTAACAAAATTTGTAAAAACGTCCTCAAGTAATTAAACAATACCTACACGATTGTTAAATGATAAATTTATAGTGATTTTTTTTTTTTTCAAAA